TGGGGCCAGGTTTCACAATGAACTCACCAGAAACCTTGGCTGATTGTGACCCACACCCAGTTCCACACCTTAGCTCATGTGATTAGGTAGAGGATCATTATTGGGTCCATTGTTCCTCTTGGTGGGTTACTTCCACGGATCTTAAATCTGGGACTCTCCACCATTTGACCATAGAACTGAAGAAGCTTCTCGGATGAGAGGTGAAACGTCTTCAAGCAACTTAAAGAAGTCCAGACGCTTTTCTTTCCAAGCTCCTTAGACTACGATGACCTGGATGACTGAGAACCTTCACAGACATCTTCCTCTAAGTACTCTATTTTTCTTCTATTATTGTCTTAGGGTCTTTGCAATATAAAAGTGCCTTGAGGTGACTGTTGTAAATTGACATCATATAAATATAATGAATGAAAACTCAAGTCATGAAAGTTGCTTATCTTTTCCACCATGGTCATGGTCTTGGCACTGGATTTAGTGTGCTGCATTCCCTTTTTAGTCTTCATGAATGTCTTTTGTTAATATATAATAAGAGATGCAGTTACCCCCTTTTTACTGAATAATGGCTGGTGTAATTCAAAGAATGTCTAGAGGAACTTCCTAGCATTTAAATTAGTGCCTGGTGATATGAAAAAAAATATCCATCCATCCATTTTGCAAGTATCTTTTCGATACCAATGCAGCACATTTACATTTCCTAGTATAAGCAACAATGGGACAAGTCTGGGCATTTCTGAGAGAGCACTAGAGAGCAAAAAAGGGATTTACTTTAACGACCAGTACTTTGCAAATCATTCAAGAAAATTGTTTTTTGTGAGACTTGGAACCACAAACTGATGATTATTATTATTATAAATGTAGAGCAGTGTCAGTTTGAATTAAGGCAGCTGAGTAATTTTATTCAATTCAGTGAGGCGTGATGGTAATGTTAGCTTACAGCAAAGGTAAATGTAGTATGTTACTAAACAGGCTGTAATTTAGTAAAATAATTATTCCCCCCGATTAGTGTGGCTACAGTTAAAGCAAATACGCCCACAGAGAGCAGCGAGTAACAATTAGAAAATTTTCTTAGTTTTATAGTGTACATATTATTTATTGATGCAATTTGCACTTACGTACTTTTACTGTTTTTAAGTGACTTCATTTGTACTTTTCTTGGTTTTTAGAAGTAGGGTGGACCCTGGATAACTGGTTTCTTTCTCTTGTTACAGGCCTACACACCGCTGCTGTCTTGTACCCTTTGTTGCTTTGTTGCTGTCGTGTTTGACTGTCATTGATTGGTTCCTTGTTTTATAGTGCTTTAGTGTTAACAGTTTGTCATATTTTAATCATGCTTTTAGTTGTACTGCTAATAATTGTATTTTAAACGGTGTGTGTGTGTGTGTTTGTATTCCTGTATATAATATTTCCTGAGTTTTGTGTTCTGTATTGCTTGATATGCATGTTTATTTTAATTTTCTTTAGTGAAGACACGGCTGCTTGCAGGGGGAGGGGGGGTAGGCACGTGTGGTGGAATTCCCTTTTGTGGATTGGAGTGTACATACCGGGAAACAAGTATAACGGACCATTTAAGTTGCAGTGAGAGTGGCAGTGAGGATTTCAGAAAGATTGCACGGGTGCACACTCCTCCCTGTAGGTTGCCTTCAAGTGGCTAGTCTCCATATATTGGAGTGTATATTACTGTTACTTTTGTAATTATTATCTTATTAACATTAATAATTTTTTTTAAAATTGCATTGTATCCTCTCGCCACAACCCGGCCTCTTCTCCATTAATTCCTGGTTTTCTGTGAGTTTGCGCTCTTTCCGTAACTAGTCGGCTTCAGTGCAGTCTTTATTTTTTATTATTTTTCTTTTAATTACGCTGATTTTATAACCGTGTTACCGTGGACAGGAGGAGGGTCACATTAACCCCCCCACGTGCTCTACAGCGAGGGGGTCAGAAACAGTCATTTTCATTTTATGATGATGTGTATATATATATATATATATATACACACACACTCCAATCCACAAAAAGGAATGTGTGTGTGTGTGTGTAGGGAAAGTGAGAGAGAGAGAGAGAGAGAGAGAGAGAGGAATAGCCATCACTGAAAGTAAAGAGCTACCATGATAAATTTAAGCCATAATTACTTGTGGTTTCAGTACTACTTATGTTTTTAGCAATTGCCCGTGTGTGTTTATGTGGCTATGCCTGAAGGCGAAATGAGCAACAGAATCACAAAACATTATATATAAGAAACATATTATCACCATTTGTAGCCAGGTGCAGAATAGATCAGAACCGGATCGTATCTTACCGTTGGACCGGCGCACGATGTTCTCTAGAAACGTGTTCTGGGGGGCCACGAGACCCCGCCGTCCTCTCGCCATCCTGCCGTCCTTCTGCAGTGAGCAGAACGAGCTGCTTCCTGCCGCTCACATATTACATATAAACACGAGCTTCGCACGCTGTATAGTATGTGCTTGTGCTCGCTCTCTCCCCACCTCAGCAGGCTCGCTATTGGCAGATTATTGCTGCACAAGCTTCGAGATGGGCCAGAGACTGGCTGTGATAGAGCGAGCTTCAAACATATGTGGGGAGAGAGGGTGGATGCCAGAGGAGTGAGAGAGGCGTATCAATGCTTTATACAGTGAGCATTACATTATCATCACGTCACTGATTGTAATTAAAAACACTGCAGATCATAATATTTCGGTAAGAAAACGTACCACAGTAAGTAATTGCGCCTGTAGTGAAAACAAATGTGTGTTTTTTTTACTTTATGCTGAAAATGTAAAGTGGGGCCACCTAAACGGAACCAATGTGCTTCAAAGTGTTGCACCTGGGTTTCCCGAGGTGAGGGATTTCGCTCGCTTTTCCAAAGAGAAATAGTTTTCAAGTCTTCAGCCCTCTGACAGGTTCACCGTTTGATCTAAGTGAAAAAACTTACAAATACAGTGAAATCACACACACACACACACACACACACACACACACACACACACACACACAAGAGGACTGCGTTTGTAAGCTAAATTTCTACTGTACCGAGTTTGCGGCCATGTCATCGTAACTGGAAAAGGCACTATGATATTGTGATAGTGCGCATTTATTTTCGTCTGTTTGTCCCATTTTAATAAACCACAATTTCGGCTGTGATAGTTGCAAAGGCTGGGTCGACATGAGATTGAACCTTATGGATTAAGAATCAGATGATACCCAAGATCACATGTGTCTTACAATAGACGAGCGAATATTTGAATGCATATATAAGAACACATTCACATGAGATACAACTTATAGCTGGAAAGTATGTTTAAAAGATGTTCAGTTTGTGAATTTATTTATTCATGTTGGTGTAACTGCAATTTACTGATCAAAGGAGAAATAGAGTGAAATAAAATAGATTTATATTTAACACAAAATGAAGCCTACATGTTATTAGTTCTACAGGTGTTGAGTACTAGTGGTACAGATTTGATAAAAAAGTTATTGATACAGAGGCTGTGCTGTAAATAAGAATGTTTCCATTTTACCAATAACTGAATGCCGATTACTGTAAAAATCAATTTATTTCATTAAAAAAGGCCTAATAACTTTTTGACAGCAGATTAGCAGGCTATGCTGCTTGTTTTTAGAATTTTTCTTATAGTGCAAGTATTTTGGGACTTTTTTCCATCTTGTTCAAAAGTTTTATTCAAAAGTTTTAGAGAAGAGCTCTCTCTCTTTCTCTCTCTCTTTCTCTCCCTCTCACCCTTCCTCCCAGGGGCTGACAGAGTTGTTGCCGTGGTGAAGTGGGAGGAGTTGTCTGCTCTTATCTTGCAGGACAAGCCCAGTGCAGAAGACGAAACATGACCAAGGGATGGACAAAGACCATAAAGGGAGGGCCAAGTTTAAACCCTTGCCTTGGCCCAACTTTTTTAACCAATCACATGAATGCCTTTATTGTTCCATATTACAAAAATTCTGTTCAATAGGCAGTGGCATCCTTTCCAGTTTGTCTGCTGCCAATAAATACTTAATAATCAGTTGTGAAAACTTGAAAATTGTTTGGCAGTCCTCACTACTTTGCAGGCATTTGTGGTGCATAGCACTGGCATTACTGTACTGGTCAAGATACTCTCCACAATGCAGCTGTAGACACTGCTGAGGATTTTAGGCAACATACCAGACTACTCGGTATTACACATCCTCACTGATGTAGATACCCAAGCAGCTTACCCTCTCCACTTCCAGCTCAGGTGGAATCTCCTCTTCTTCCACTATGATCTCTTTTGTCTTGGCTGTGTTGAGAGTGAGGTTGTTGTTCTCGCACATAGACATCAGACCTCCCTTCTGTAGGTCGCTTTGTATGCACCAGTAATGTGTCCTATCAGGATGGTGTTGTCCACAAACTTTAAGATGATGTTATCTTTGTGATAGGTAACACAGTTGTTGGTGAACAGAGTGTAGCGGATGGGGCTGAAAATGCCTCTTTGTGGAGTGCCCATGTTTATAGTAATACTGGCTGAAGGTTTATTACCAACACTGACAGACTGAGGCTTCCCAGCCAAAGAGTCCAGGTGAGGTACAGGCCAAGTGTAGACAGTTTATGGGTGTGTTTGTGGGGAATGACCATGTTAAAGGTGTTGGCATTGTTGTTAACGAACGTGCTAATGTACCCAATCACATACTTAACGTAATCCTGTATGTTGATGCACGACCAGTTATTTACAGTCCTCATAGAAGTTATTTACAGCATCTTCAATCAAGTAATTAATCACCGACTATATTTATAAATTGTGAAAAGTAACTCTGTTAGTGAATCAAATTTACACTTTTTAATCCATGCAGACACAGAATCTCCTCCTTGGCTCTCTCTCACTCACAAAAACACTTGGCCAGGGAAACATCCAGGCTTCCGCACAGAGGAGATGACGAATTAGCAA